AAGAATGAGGTGATCGTTTGGTTGCATCAAGCTTGCTCAAGGCAAGTTGCATTGTATTTATTAACATTTCAGCTTATAAAGCACACGTTAAAGCCATAAGAGGAAAGAATATAAAGCTAATGTATTTATTTTGCAAATGTTTTATTATGAATCTCATTGTTCCTAAGCCACAGTAAATACAATACTAAACAGTATTAGGTGTTTGTTTTTGTACACATACACACACATACACACACATATATATATATACGAGTTATACATGAGTGTGTGTGTGTGTGCGTGTGTGTGTGTTTGTTTTGTTTTGTATTTTTTTTCCAGCCTCAACAACAATTTTGATTTCTCAAGCGCCACAAGAAATGTGGTGGGAAATTTAGCGTCGCAGTATTATACTAAGATGTTCGCCGAGGATCATATTCTATTGACATCTGTATCATGGAACAAATATATTATCTCTAGATAATAGTGAACTGCCAGTGTCAGCGTCGAAATCAGTTTGCATAAATCTTTAAGTTCAATAATATATTAAAATATGTAGCGTTCAAAATTATCTTCTGAAGACCTTAATGACGGAGATAATGTGCTAACTCTACAGCCTCGACAATATTGTCTTGCGGCCATAGCGTAGATGGTATCATCTGGATATTTTCTCCAGGTCATCCCGGTGAGTGGGGAAATAAACAGGCTGATATATTAGTTGGTTATGCACCACTTGGTGATGAATTTATATGTGTCAAGCTAGATGTGAGGGTCCTTTGAAAGCAAGTGAACAGTGCAGACGCACAAACAGACTATTACGGTCTGAGGAAATACCGCTGCGTGGAGTTACCATGGGATCTGGCCAATGCTCAACACTCTAGGAAAGGGCAGGACGGATATACAATCAGACAATTACTGGTATTATCAGATATGGTACTCTTATCTTGCTGCTGAAGATGGGAACGTAGCGTGGAAAGGGGAGTCTCGAGTTCTGTAATGTCGATTTATGATTCAACACTCAACATTCATAATTTTCTTCAAAGGGTACACAAACATAAACTGAAATCCCTAGCCTTGACAAAAATCTACACTAAAACTCTAGCCTCGACAATAATTTACTAAAATCTTTAGCCTGGACAATATTGTACTAAAATCTCCAGCCTCGACAATATTGTACTGAAATATCTAGTCTTGACAATATTGTACTAAAATCTCTAGCCTCGACAATATTGTACTAAAATCTCTAGCCTCGACAATATTGTACCAAAATCTCTAGCCTCGACAAAATAGTACTAAACTCTCTAGCCTCGACAATATTGTACTAAACTCTCTAGCCTCGACAATATTGTACTAAAATCTCTAGCCTCGACAGTATTGTACTAAAAACTCTAGCCTCGACAATATTGTACTAAATCTGTAGCCTCGACAATATTGTACTAAAATCTCTAGCCTCGACAATATTGTAATCTCTAGCCTCGACAATATTGTACTAAAATCTTTAGCCTCGACAATATTATACTGAAATCTATAGCCTAGACAATACAGTACTGAAATCTATAGCCTAGACACATCGTGAACATCATCATCAATTTCCACTTCCTTCTGCCGTTAAGCACTGTATGGAGTAACAGTTTTGATCTAAAGCTTGAGGGCCAGCATAGGCTGTTGTCATTCCGTGTTGATGTAGAAGGTCTTTGTTGTTACCAGTTCATATTTTCCTGGGGTGACCTTTTTCTTTCACTCCAGATATTTTCACGTGTAGCGCATGCGCTGGTAGTTGTTCCGGCTGCATTCTTACTAGATAACCAAACAATTTGATCTTCTCTTTTAAATGAATTTACTGCATTGTGCTGGTGATCTAATTTCTGACTTTGTCTCAGATGGTTAGGCTGGTGGCTTTTCTCAGGCATCTAATTTCCCAGGTGTTAATTTTACATAGGTTAGCCTTTGAAATCCTTGATGCTCTTGCATGCTTGGCAATGATAGCACATGATTGGTATGAATATGCCATTTAGTGTTTTTTTTTTTTTTTTTTTTGGCACTAATAACTACGGCTTGACGTCCTAATTCTTTGAGTCCCAGTGGGTTTAGCGTCACAGGCCCAGTGGGCATTGAAGAAAGACATACAGTCGGCGCACCATGCGTTAACTGCCTTCAACAAAAATGTAATGTCTCGTTGTTCCCTGAAATATTCTGACCATATCAGTCACCAATAAAAGCAGAAGGCATGGTACCATAAATGAGGGGCAGGGTCCGACTAACACAAAGATGGGTACAGGATATAAGTGACTCTTTGAATATGAAAGTGCACGATGAAGAAGAATTGGCAAGAGACCGGGTTTCTTTCAGGCAAATCTTGATGAGTCGTTCAAGGTTGTTAAAGTTAATGGCGTATCCACAGTTTAGAGTTGAGATACTGTGTCATATAGTTGGCTTATCAAAACGGATTAAGAGATCAATTTCATAATGAGTTTGAGGTGAAGATTTATACCAAAGCAGAAGGTAAGCGGTTTACTGTACCAGACTTCCGCCGATAATTTAAGATGGGTCATTTATATTGGGGTTTTGTGACCCAGAGAAACCAATGAAATGGCGTTTGGTCTGGAAAGAACATCATTTATTACGAAGATACGATTTTGAAAAAAAAAAAAATTGAACACGAAATTAACATGTTTAGATTAAAATTTAAAATTCCAATATGCTTATTTACTGTGACTGGAAAAGATCAAAGGAATTAGCTTATAACCAAAATCCTGACTATCTAGGGTGCTGGAAAAAAAAAATTATCACTTTTGTTGCGTCATGGATTTTTACTCCCTACATGCAGCAGCAACAAAATAATTTCCACCTGACTGTCACTTGTCGAGAAAATATACTGCAAATGTGCTTATGAATTTCTGAACGGACTATAGCTAATCTTATGCATGAAATATACATATTACGCTAGATATAAATGAAGAAATACATTCTGGCTTGAAAACATTTTATACAATAGACTCGTAATGCCCCTGAACGAATTATGCTTTAAAACAAAATGATTAACATGCGCTGTCTATGTAAAGATGAACACTTAACTGGCTGAATGAATCGATGATAGAATGAAGAAGTATAGTAGAGCACAGAGAGCAAAGCCATTATGTTATCACATTTTAATTGCAAACCTTCACAAATAAAGCGAAACAGTGAAGCTGAATTATAGTGCAGGGCGGGTAATCAGCATTCAGAAATGTTTTTAGTTACCGCTTCAGTTCCGAAATATGTTGCCTAAAAGTAGCCGTCGATAAAAAGAGATAACCAATAATTATATAATATACGTTTTTGTGACTCGTATGATTACACACACAAGACGTAACTTCGCCCACAAAGACCCTGACACTAAGTACTACAATGAAAAGACAATATATAATTTATCAGTGATGCCTGAAACAACTGATTATATTTTATATGGCTATGATTTATGCAATTTGTGAAAATCTTCCAGCAATTATCTTTTACAACAGAACGTTCGTGTGTTTATCCGTGTTTCACTACGATCTTCTATCTATGTGACGGACCATTCTGATAATAACCAGTTTCAATATGGTAAAATATAATTAGTTTAAAGTGTACGTGTTGGACCAATCAGAAGAATTATTTATACGATGGTATATTAATTTGAAATAGCAGTTTCTCGTGTAAAATTGCTAAAACATTGATTAAACTACAGTGTAAAATAAAAACATTGTAATTGTATATGTCTTACCGAAATCACACATTTCACAAAACAAGCAATTGCAGCTTCGCAATACTCGGGATGAATTATTCATCTTGCTGTTGGGAATAGCAGAAATACTTATAGATAATTCAGTGTGCAGGTGTTCTCTCCAGTCTTAAGCAGAAAAGGAAAGCGGTGTCCCAATATCTTTCTCCCGACTTGTGTTTGTTCATTTGTTAATGTTTAAATGCTATTTCTCTTACGTGTATTTTCTGTTTCGCCAAAAACTACAAATGAGATAATAATTACATATGTTATTATAATATTCTAGCAAATACAGTTTTGTTTTGGCAATATCTGGTAAATGGCTTCTCTTTGGTATTGACACTAGCAGTACAAGAACTGATGCCATTGTTATTAATCAGGTATTTTTGTATATTCATTTGTGTGTTGGAAACATTTGATACCATAATCTGAAAAGTAATGCATTAATCCAGCAGTAAAACCAGCTGAATTGTAATATATCTTCTTTGTAAAATAAACGCAACTATCATTTGATTGTTACTTGGTTGTGGACACAAACACACACACACACACACACACACACACACACACACACACACACACACATTTGCATCCGTAGTAACCAATTACAACACACATGATTTTGGATATGTCAAATATGACATGGACAGACATGAATAAACAGTCCCTTTTATTGTCAGTGTCAAAGATGTTTGTTAATGTTTCTTTAGCGAATCCTGACAGCTTTGCCGGGAACTGGTTAGGAAGCATCACAGAGAGCCAAAAACAAATATTCGTATTTGTAAATATCGTATTTATGTGCGAAATTGTCAGCGTGTTTGGAATAGTAGCCAACGTAATTAACGTAATTGTATTTTACAGGCAAGGTTTGCACACGACGATAAATATCAGTTTTTTCGCCATGTCGGTTTCCGATCTTTTGTGTCTGATTGTATTTCAGTGGTACGTAGCAATACCTTTGTTGAAGTTTGCGGGTCTGCCTATGGTGTACTCAGATGTCCAGTACATTACAGGTTGTGTTCCACATGAGACTTTCACTAGAATCAGCTGTTCTATAACCGTCTACATCACAGCAGAGCGATGTTTATGTGTTGTTTTTCCACTGAAAATTAAGCAGATAATCACTCCCAAAATGACAATGATGGTGATAATTTTCATTTACGTGACAACTCTAGAATGCCCAATTCCTTTGTTTTTTGCTACTTATCTTGACTGAAACTTCTATCCCGATAAAAACAAAACACTTCTTGGTTTAGTATTTGCTGATGACAAGGAATTACTCGAGAAAGTGGTTTATTTTATGCACGCTATTGTGGTAGTGGCATCAATAATTTCCGTTGTCCTCTTTACCATAGTATTGATCGTCAAGTTACGTGTGAACTCGAAATGGCGTAAATCAATGAACAGTCAGCAAAAGCAGCAAGCTTCAATGACAAATAAGGAGAGAACCACCATTGTCATGATAGTTTTGATCGCTTGTATGTTACTTGTCTGTTACACTCCGACTATTATTCTCTCATTGATAACTTTCTTTGAACCAGACTTCAGCCCAGGTGGTAAATATGTGAATCTACATTATATTCTATGGTCTTTTGCACTTCTTTTTGAAACAGTCAATTCCAGTGTAAATATTTTCTTGTATCTAAAGATGAGTAGTAATTACAGACTCTACTTCTACTCCCTCTGTTTTAAACGGGATTAGTCTGTGTGTTTATTTCTCATTAGGGAAAAATAATGGGAAGAGAAATGAAAAAAAGAAGCATTGGTGAAGCGAAACATTTTGAAAATGAAATAGTTCAGATAAAATGTTCAAGTCTAGAGGATCTACTTTATTACACTTAGGTTTGCTTAGACCTCAACTGGCTTGGTTTCTTAATGCATAACGAATTCGTGGCTGTTGATAGCGTCACATGAAGCACAATCAATGTAGCTCAAGTGATAATCCCCAGGTATCTCTTCAAAATTGCTTTAGTGAACAGAAGAATGCAACCTTGAAAAGAACGCTCAACCTTCAGATAGCGAGGCAAACGGATTGCCTACTTCGCCATTCCCATTACTGAGCAATCACCTTGTAATATATATGTAGGAGAGTGTGTGTTATGAGGACCATGTTTATATGAATTCTAATAGTTAGCTTTGAATGTGCCATGTGGCTCACACACACATAACGCACACACACACACACACACCGGCACACGCACACACACACACACACACCGGCAAACACTCTCACACACGTGTATGTATGTTCGTTTACATTTTCATATTTGTGTTTATTATGATGATAACCTGTGTATGCACTAAACGATGATCATCGAGGATCACGCTTGTGAGTATTATGGTTATTGTACATTTCTTTGATTTATGCGACAATCAGTAAAAGAAAACTTTCGCTAGCGAGAAGTAACGAGGTGCTGTGGCCGATACTTTAGACTCAGAGGAAAGGCAAGACGGACATAAAATCAGACATCTTCTAGCACCATTGCTATTTTAACTCTGTGTTTGCTGCCTAAGATCAGGAAGGAGCGCTTGTGGAAATGAACCCAGTGCTGTGATGTCGGTTATTGAATTAAATCAGATCAAATCAGAATGCTCCTGTCTATATCTTGCTAACGTAGGCCCCTTGCAACGTGCGACATATCGTCTTCAGCATCATAAGGAGCAAATCTTTGTATCTTTCAGGCGCATATGTCTTTATAGCGTAGCTTTGTCCTTCCTGTCAGTATTGTCCTAATTTTCAGTTCAACATACAGGAGATACTTAGAAATATGACAGTTTTCAATGCGGGAAGCGTCTTTGCTTTGGTAGAAAAAAACAATGTTCGTTTTCTTTCTTTTCTGAGTATGGGAAAAAGTTTTTCGACCTTATATACTTATTATATGTATGTAAGTATACTACGACTGATAATAAAAAAGAAATGCTGGATTTGCCGCCTTTCCGTCCCATAACATTTCAGGTTACTAGTTTCTGATGAGTCCATATGGAAGTATTGGTCAGTTTATTACATTTCCTGCCACTGAGGAACCAGAGCCAGTTGACTAGCCGAAGGAATAAGTAATGTTTCATCCCTAGCTGGTAGTGTTTACCGAAATTTGTAAACACTACACCATGCTGCAAAAAAAAAAAAAAATTGATGTATATCAGAATAATTGTATCAGAAAAAAGAAAAAAAAACTACATTCTTCTGTAGGAACTTATCACGAAGTCACCAGCGCAATAAGAGTTACCTCCCCTTCTTTTCATGCCACGGAGGATCGCATGGTCTGTCCTATGTTGTGGGAGTATTATGAGGTAGCTTCGTTCGGCGTTGGCTCGCTGTATATAATGTTGATGGAAGGTTGCTTTGTCTTCTCATGGGTCTCTTTGAGGCGCTACGATTGTCTGTATACAATTAAGAAGTATTGCATGGAAAAGGCCCGAAATTGCGAGTGTTAGCGAGTATCGAAACTAGGATATTTTTGTATTTTCACTTTTCTTGGCAGTGGCTACCACTCCACCCCCCCCCCTTACATAGCCCGCTCCCTTTTTAAAAAAAAAAAGTCATTGACAAGGAACGTAGCAATTGAAAAAAAACAAAATCCCAGTTTCGATACTCACGAATCGTCGAGCAAGTAGGAGAATGTGGAGAGAATCAAGCAAGCGAGCAGTCTCGACACGATAAAAGAGACAACGTTCAGGAAGATAAAAATTGGGAATACATGACACCCCTCAGCTCCCCCTCCCCCCCGCACTCAGAAAAGGAAAGCAATCCGCTGCAGCATGAATATGACAGGAAGGAACTCTAGTCGTGTGGGAGCACGGATTCGTGGTAATTACCTGTTGTATCAAAAGAAGGAGAACTGGAGTACATTATGGCGGTGTTGAAGGGGCAAGTAGGCAAAGGGGGGGGGGGCAGAGAGAGAGAGAGAGAGAGAGAGAGAGAGAGAGAGAGAGAGAGAGAGAGAGAGAGAGAGAGAGAGAGAAAGAGAGTAGACGATTGAGAGTTTGAGATCATGGAATGGAAGATCAACTTTTTCAGAACTTAACTGAATTTCAGCAACCTTTAATTTGTTAACATGTATGCATACTTGTCGATTGAAGGGTGTTATTAGATAATGCTGCCCGTAAAGACACATTGCTAATGTTAGTGTGCAACGAAATTTTAGATGTTTTTACAGGCTATATATATCACTAAAGTGTTAGTGTTTTCATTGTTTTTAGTATTTATTATGTGTGACCAGTACAGTCAATATTGGAACTCTGCGCTGGCTGCTACAGATGAGGACAGAGCACACATGGGAATGCCCCCGAGTTCTTTGATGTCAATTCTTGTCATAACTCAACTCAACTCAACTATTATTTATAACATAAATCAGCGCGAACTTGAAATTATTACTGGGTACCACTCTTTCTGACCAAGTGGAATTAAACTGGATCGCACATACCATTTAGGTGAAATTTTGTTCTTCTTTGGGGTAAATCTGCTATATACAATCATAGAAGTTGGCAAGTAAGGTCAATATCAACCTCAACATCGTATGGGATACTCTTTCATTTAGGGAGCGGCGTTAGCGCAGCCGATAGGAGGCTCGATTTCAAATCCAGCTGCGAGTCGATGCAGCAACGGTCGGTGTTCGAAACCGGGTGGTTCCCGGGGTTCACCCAGCCTCTAGTAAATGGGTACCAGAGTGACACTCTGGGGTAAATAGAGGAACGTCGCTGTAGCTACAGAGTTACATGCGGACGGCTCACAGGCGGACTGTTTCTTATCAGCTGCCCGTACTGGTGGCAGAGCACTTATGGTTTATAACTGTGTGCAATGACACAGGTTCACATCTCACTTTACCTTCACTCTTTTATTTATGCCATCAACTGCAAGAGATGTGTCATGAAATACATTGGTGAAACAGGTTTACGGCTAGCTGACAGGTTCAGACATCTTTTGGATAGCAAAATGGTGCTCTGAAACCAGTACCTTTGCACTTCAATTCTCAGAATCACCAAGGTGTCCTCGACATGGAGGTGACAGCCATTAAATCTAGCCACGCCAGCGTCAGAGTCCGCAAATCTCATGAGAATCGCTTTATTTACACTTTGGGGTCTTTAACACCCTTTGGATTGAATTGCCAACACAGTTTCATTTAAACACCTAATAAATTGAGCAGCCCTCACAATGTTATCTCTAGCCTCCTAGTTATGGCCCCTGGTACTCCACAGGAGGTATTTATTGCCTTAGCCGACCCGTGTAGGCAGTCTGCTGAGAAACCATCGACCCAAGTGCTTACTGATACCAGCTAAGTGATTTTGTGTATTTGTATAGAATTGTTTGATTTTTATGTACTGTTGAAGGCCCCATAGCCGCACAGTTCACGTTTTGTTTGTATTAGTTATATTGTGAGATTTGCTAATAAATTCTTTTTGTTTGGTTTCATCTCTTTTCATTAAAAGAGCTGCTGATTTACGTTTATTAAGCTGATTATGTAATTAAGTTCAAATAAGGTACGACAGGTTAGATTAAGTGAAAGACGCACACCAACACACACAGAGAAATATTTTTAAAATTATAACCTATCAAGGGGCAAATCGACGTCTCGCAATGCAACAAAGTCTGACATATGACATCACAACATCTATTTTGAGAGCTCTTACAACATGCTTGTTGTGTGTGAAACGTGAATCTGTTCGTGTTTCCCCCAAAATGGGGTTATAAATCTATAATATGTGGGCGGCGCAATTTGTCGTGATATCAAAATGTAGCTGAAGATTGTAAAGATAATTGGTTAAGCTCGTGTGAAGCTACTACTCTAACCTGACCTGATCTAGGGATACTGTTGTTCATGTTGTTAGCCTTGGTATTTTTTTTTTTTTTTTTTTACGTATCCAGAAACCATGAGTTGTAAACCCTTTGGCTCGGTACTATCGATATCGCAACCCTTCGGCATTGATTCCATTATAGGTACCGTTAATCTGGGAGAAATGTGGCTTTTCTGCCTACCCCCTGGAGTGAACCCGGACCACAAGGAGTTCGTCACCCGGCCGCCGCGAAAGTCAGGTTTAACCAACTTCGCTAGAGAGCCGGGCATTAGCCTTGGTATAACCCAAAGCCTAAGGTAGAAAATATTCCCATCTCTGTGTCAGTTTTGCGGTACAACTTTACCAGCAGCACACTGCATCTCACCACAACAAGAACAGAAAAATCATACAAGAAAACATGCATTTTATTAGGTCAATGGAGTGCATGGAAAATGACTCAAGTAATATATTTTTAACATTTATTAATTTATTGATATTTAATAACAATAATTTGTATTCCTTGATCTCTAGCAGAGATTACAATACAAAATACCTACAGAAAACAATATGCTAATTTAATACCTAATGTTATGTTGACTTATACAATTACACACGAGTTAGTTTATTAGCTGAATTTCCAACAAACATCTTTGCAGGCTTGTGGCCCCATAACTGCTGTTTTCCTGCCAGTGTAAATCAAACAAAATATCCTTCACTGTTAAATTTGAAAACTTTAAAAAAAACCTGATATATCAAACAGTATGTGTAAGTTTGCATATGCAAAGTGCATATTTCTAAGGCAGCTGTCAGATGTGTTAAAACCAGCGGTTTCACACAAGACTTGGATACCGTTTTGTCGTCCCCTTGTGGGATGCAATTTTTCGTTACTTAGAAGCCCTAACCTGGCTTATGCAGGAGGCCCTAAAATAA